CCAATACGGGCAACTATTTTTATATATTATTTTGTTTGAGATTTACTATTTATTAGTCAAGGTCTATGTGATGTATGACATTTATTAAGAAAATTGGAAGAGCTTTATGACATTTCCAACTAATCAGTGGCCATCTAAGTCTAATTCAATTATTACTTTTTAAGTTATGTCTAATTTACCCAATCACAATCCAAGTTGCATTTTAGTGAGAGTGGGAAATTTCCTATGCTCTAGATAAATTTATATTATTTTTTTATCTTAATGATATTTTTGGTGATGTTTAAATTTTATTGGTATGTTATCATTTCATATTAATTTTTATGTAAAATTATAAAAAAAAAATTCCTCTTAAAACAATTCGATCTATAAACTACCTTTGTGCTTCGATCTTGAAGAGAAAACCTTACCTGTAATTTTGAAAAATTGCAAATGACTTCTTCTTGTTAGCTTTTCACTAGTAAAGACATTGAAGCTATCAAAATACCCTTATCATTGTTAAGGTGTTATCATACACAATTTAAAGTTTCAACTTTACCTTTCACTAATTTATTTTAGTTGAACTAAGTCTCTAGCTCGAGATTGAGCTTAACATTGTTTTGGCAAGCCAAGCTTGAATAGGTAGGTATTAAGCTTGGCTCAAATCCCTCCATGGGGTTCATATGTTTCATTCTTTTATTTATTTTTTGTTATCTTTTATTTTAAAAAGTAGAGAGGAACCAACTTCAAGAAGAGGAATTGCTACTAGATAGATGAATGAAAGATTTAAAAAATATGTCAAAGCCATGAGCATGCTTTTTGCTGGTTATAGCATATTGGAACAAGTAAGTGGTTTATCCAATTATTGCTTGGACAATGTTAGAAACATTGTTTTTTGGTTTGAATGAAAACTTAGGTTATTTTTTTGTTAAGCTTTTGGATAATGTTTAATTTTTTGATGTACAGGAGTTTTTTCTATATTGGACATTTTGGGTGAATAGGACTCTAGGGAAAACATTTTTTCATGTGCAAGTGTTCTTTTTGTATTGAACATTTTGGGCAAACAGGACTGTAGGGAAAATATTTAAAAAAATACCACCTATACAGACGAATCATTTCCGTTGGTATATTATGAACCTATACCGATGCCCCAAATGGTATATATATTTGTTGATCATAACACATTGCTAGTTGTTAGCACCCAATTTTGATCGGTCCCTTCTTCGACCCATCTCCCACATTCCGGATGCCCGGTCAGACCACACTAATCACTCTAAAACATTCCAAAACCCTAAGAAACCAAATTTTAGCCCAAATGCCCATAAATCCACCATTAAATATACATGATTCCCTTTTGATGGTCTTGATTATGCCACATCACCATACTTGATCCCCAACCAAACTCCATCACATGAAACAAAACCCTCAAACAAATAATAACACAAGATTTCAACCCTAAATTCCTGGATTTAGCCAACATCCATTAGAGATTCCATTTCGACGCGTTTAACACTACGACACTCCTCAAACCTAAAACCCGTGATCTGTAGATGCCTAACATGATCAAAACCTTTCAAAAGCCTCATAATCCCAATCCATACCTACCCACCAAGTTTTATCCCAAAATTCCCCCATTTGACCCAACATCAAGCCTTGATTCTATTTTGGTGAATCTTATTGATTAAAAGCTCACATGTCACAAATCTCCATCATCTAAACCTTATTTGACCAATCAGACCCCACCACCATGTTTAGAGACTCAAATAACCCCAACACGTCAAATTTCACGACCAAAAACTTCCATTTGACCGATGAAAAGTAAGATTCCATTTTGGACCCTCTTATTGATTGGAAAACCATAAGACCGTGATCTGAACTAAACCAGTCAATGTACACCTCTGATCAAAGATCCATCACTTCCATCAGATTCAGGATGTTCAAATATGCCTACCCACCAAATTTCATCCCAAAATTCTCTCGTTTGACCCTTCATCAAACAAAGATTTTGTTTTGGCAAATCCTATTGATCCAAACTTGTCAAACATAGATTTCAATCATCCCGACCCCTTTTATCCAATTATACCTCATCACCACTGTGTTCAAATGCTCAAAAACCCCCTAACACGCTAAATTTCATGACTAGATTCATCCATTTGTTCGTTAAACTAGAGAGATATCATTTTGACGCACCCGATTGAATCACTACATTAGCTATCCAACCTAGCATCTTAAGTGGGAGGGGACTAGTGTCAGCTCCTTACTTAACCCCATTAAAACACATGGACTAATGAATTTGAGATTAATAGGCTTAAAGAGCTAAAAATACCAAACAAGCCCCCGCTTAAAACTAAGAAAGGACAAAATCTCTTTTAAAAGTTCATCAAATTTACGTTTCTTGCCACTATGAGTCCCAAATATGGGGCTGCAACCTCTAGCACGCCTTAATCCCTCATTGGATGCACGAAACCCATAAGAAACCACCGGAAATCGAAAAAATTTGTTGCACAAAGAAGGAAGGGTCAACTACAAGCCCTTCTCTCTCAAAATCCATGCATATTTCGGTAAAAAAAAAAAAACCTCTACTGAGCCACAGACACTATAATTGGACGAGTTTTAGGCCCATCTCCCTCCATTTTCTCTATAAATAGAGGCCCAGCTTGAGCTTGAGGAAGAGAGTTTCCCAACTCTTGTAACACACCTAGTCTGCTTGAAACCCCGAAATCCTTGAAGTTAAGCTCAAGCCTCATCCCCTGCTTTCCAAATTCAACACCAGAAATGCCCAGCCTAGCTCTTGCCTTGCTCAAGTTTCATTTGAAGTCATTTCAGTTGCTGGAAAGCTTGTTTCAAGGTCATACATGAGAGGTAAGCCTTTCATTCCACCATATCTTTGCTTTTAGTTTAGTTTCAAGTTGCTTAAAGCCCTGAAATCTTGGGAAACCTGCATTCCCAACTTCCTTTGGATTGAGAAAAAGAGGTAGAGAGGCGAGGGTCTTAGGGAAACTAGTACCTAAGACCCGATAACATCACCTCAAATCAATTCCAGGCGAAGTTGGGAACATTTTCGCTAGATTTCAGGAGCTTTGAGCAATCTTGTTAGTTCGTGTTTTGCCACAATCTTCTATAGTAGCTTGGAGAGAGGGGTGCCTAACACCTTCCCTCTCCCAATCTTTGGAACCCAAAACCTTTCGGTTTAGTGCCTTTCCTTGGCAAAGAACGGAGTCACTATTAAGGCAAATAACTGTTTTTCGAATAAAAAAATGATGGCCCATTTCTTCTAAAAAATGGGTGGCAACTCCAACTCTTTGAATCGGCCATGAGCTTCCCGGAGCTCACACTAGTCACACTCATCCAACCATACATCAGGAATATTGTTGATGTAAAGTACAACCGATGTTCCAAATGTGCAACTTAATGAACATGGCCAGCAATATGTTATGGTCAGTAGATTCGAACTTGCCATAAATACAAGTGATAGACTAAATGGTTATGAGCCTCAAGCACTTTATGACTAGTGTGGAGCAAAATGATTAATTCTAGAGCCAATAAAATAGTATCAAATTCAAAATGATATCTAGTTTGGAAACATGTTAGTTCTTAAAACAAAAATAACAAAAATAGACAAATGCTATGATGAAGCTATTCCATTGTAAAGCTTGCCTCATATAGCTAAACACTCCTTAAACTTACCATTTCACGCAAATTTGACATTCTCCATATATTGCAAAACATTAAGGGTCATTCATTTTTGGAATTTTTAGAATGGGGAAAGTTGGCCAATAGGATTTTGGTTCCCATTTACCAAGAAACCCATGTTTTTTTTTTCCATATTTATTTGGGGTCTATGAAAAATTTATTCTCCCTAAATATCACTTACCTGGATAAGAGTTGCCAACACTTGCGACAAAAATATTACCTCTTTAATAATGACTTTGTATGAATAGATTCGTCATTATCTTATTTACCTAAAAAATAAAAGAAAATGAATAAATGCATCCGTCCAATAAATAACTTACCAAAAAGGGAGACACCCACTTGGGACAAAATTACCTCTTTAATAATGACTTTGTATGGGTAAAATGGTGATCGTTAATAAAAATAAATAAATACAGATATCCTATAAGTAATTACCAAAAAGAGAGACACACGAAGGAAAAATGCAAAACAGTTTAATAAATTATTTAAATAAACTAAATAACGATTAAAAGTTAAAACCATACAAATAAAAACGATTTAAAATTGATATGACATGGCGCGCATTGACATCCACACCCTAGCCCTACCTGGCTTGACGCACAATTACTTTTACTTTTCAAAACATAAAACACAATTCAATTAACGTAATTTCAAAAATAAATGAAAACAAGATATTCTAGAACACCGTACCCTTCTTTTCTGTACGGCCCAAAAATTGACCATATTTTCCACTTTTGGTACAAACTTTTACCAGATTCTTTTTTTCATTATTCAACATTTTATGCCGTATAAATATTTACTATGGCCCCATCTATCTGATTGGACTCAATCATACTTGTAGTGATCATATGGATTCCAATCTGAAGGTCAGAAAAGAAAAGAAAAGAATCAGACGACTAATTTGGGCATTTTGATCCAATCAAATCCTAGTGACTAAACCAGCATCTTAAAGTCAGCAATTCCAATAATACCATACACCAATATACTTTATCTTGATCTTGACAAGCATGTGACACCTCCACCTTACTAATGTCCCAACTCCCAACCAAGTCCAACGCGCGTTGCTTGACAAAACGCATTTTCTAGTATTCACATACTTTGAAAAGTACAAATCTACGGTCCATCCTACATAGTATTTGCATTGACCTTTGAAAAGCTTGACTCATCCAAAAAGTTACAAAAGAGAACTCTTTTCCTGTGTTCCTCAGCTGGGTCGACCCTACCTCTTTCATGGCTGGTCAACCCCCTACGAGAGGCTCTGACTTTCTCCAACTTCAACCTATATAAACGCTGTCCAGAAATCAAATTTCATCAGGTATCCAGCCAGCTGAACCAGTTTTGTCTTAGACCCATTTGCGGAAAAATCGTGCCCAGTTGCAGAGTTTGGTTCAGATGAGTCATTCAGAAGAAGGTTGCTCTAATGGAGACGAGAAGAAGTACAACGGAGTACGTCGCCGGAAATGGGGTAAGTGGGTGTCGGAAATTCGAGTCCCCGGCACAAGAGACCGGTTATGGTTGGGGTCATACTCTACGCCGGAAGCAGCTGCAGTGGCCCACGACACTGCTCTCTTCTGTCTGCGAGGTCCCTCGTCGGCGGGACATCTCAATTTCCCAATTCTCCTTCCGAGGATCCTACAGGCCGACATGTCGCCCAGGTCCATACAGAAGGCAGCATCCGCTGCAGCACTGGCGGTTGATGCTCAACTGACCAAAAAGTTGCCGGAAAATGAGAAGCCTGTAGAGAATGACGAAATAACTCCTTATCTTGATCAGACCCAAATCTGGGACGACAAATACGTTCATTCTGAGATGAATGAAGGAAGCTCCTCCGTCGAAGGCGAGGCCTTGAGCATTTCCGTTGAAGACATGGAGATATATCTCTAGATTCTAGCCGTTTGAGTCTTATACTTTGGAAACTTCTGTGTTCTTTGCCATGCCACAGGACTGACTTTACCAAGAAATCAGTTACGTACTTTCTTATTTGGGTTTCTGGATTTCTGATCGTAATTAGCGTCTCCCCCGTCTCTTGGATAGACCATAGATGTATTAGTGACCAAGGAAATTGGTCAGTTTGAGCTGGATTGAAGCCACAATCAAATACCTTACTATACGAGTTAAAGGATAACAAAGAAAGAACACAAGAACTTCCAGTTTCATTGAAATGGAATTGCAGTTTTTGCAAAGAATCTTCTTTGGGTATGATTTTATTTTTTTCTTTTCTGAATCTTCAAACTGGATCAATTAAGCTGTGTTATAATGTTATCCAGCCTTCTCAATTATTGACTAGGGTTGAATTTGCAGGATCAATTTCTTGATGGGTTTGTTAATGACTGGAGGATATTATCAAACCCCAACTGTCTGCAACTCATTTCTGGACTCTGGACTCTGCTGGAGACAGTAGGAGTCTCAGATTGCAGAAAAAAAATGCGAACTATTCCATCTAGATATGGTCTCTTTAGCCAAAAGTGCAATGCAAGAGCTTTCATTCATAGTCAATCATCCATCCAATTATCTCAGGGTTTAACTGATAATGTGGTCCATGGGGAAGAAAGAGATGCCAGAAACCAGATGATTGCTGCCATTCAAAATTCAATCAATTTGGCATTTAGATAGAGAGCTCTCTCAGTCCAGGTCCATTCCTATATGAATTCCATAGACATTGATGGATGAACAGACAGTTCTCATATTTTCATCTTGAACTCTAATGTACTCATAGTCTTTATTATCAAATTAAGAAAGGAAGGACAACTACCTCCTAAAAGGAGGTTCTAACCCCAAAACTAAGAGTTGGTGGGAGCTCCATCAGACTTCGGTAAACCCAGCTGCCTGTCCTATATCAGTTGACTCCTTGCTTAGTGCAATCTGAGTGCCTTGTGGAGCATCCAATTGGGCACCATAAAAAGAAAATTAAGGCTCTGTTTGTTTGCAGTGCAAATTAAATCAGGTTCAGATTTGCATACAATTATTTATAATTATGACTTGCATTATTACGTTAAGCAAAAATTGCACTGTCTCATTTACAATTCACTATCAATGCAAATTTGCACTCAAAACAAAAGTAAGCTTTGAATTTACACTCAACTTATTTGCACTCTCATGCAATTACACTAGTACAAATTTGCATTATAAACGAAGCCTAAAGATCCGTTTGTTTGCAATGTAAACGTGAACAAGACATAAATTTTGCACTCCCATGAAATAATACTGGGTAACCGTGCGTAAGAGCTGGGCCTTCATGATTCTTTGGGTCTATTACTCTGGACCATGATACTAGGGCTGTAATCGCATTCAGCAAAATTTGAATCCAATCCCACTATTGAAATCTTGCATCTAAATTTGATCCGAAATTCGAATCCTAACGGGTTCGGATGGGATTCAGATTTAATCCAATTTTGTTTTAATTTGTTGAAATACTAAAAGAAATTAATTATTTTTAAACTTTTACATAATAAATTAATGTAAATATAACATATTGAATTTATTATATATAAATTCGTATATAATATAATATATAGAATAGATTTTTTTATAATTTTCAACATAATTATATAAAATTTATATATTAAAATTAATAAATATTATAATATAATTAGATTCAAATTTTAATGGGATCATATGGGGTCAAATCCGAATCCAATCTGATCTGATTACATAAATGCATAAACTGAATCTAGATAATCAGATTGGATATTGGATCGGGCCTCGGATTCTTAGATATCATTGAGAGGCCTTCAAGATACTGAGCTGGAAGGGGGGTGAAAGAGGACAGAAAAGAAAGACTAAGGGCCCGTTTGTTTTTTGGATTTTGAGAGGGAAAAGTTGGTGAATGGAGTTTTGATTTCCATTAATCAAGACACTCATGTTCCTTCGATTGAAAATTTGTTTTCCCTAAGGCTTCGTTTGTTTGGAGTGTAAAAACCGATTCGATGTATTTTTACATTCCGGTTCAATTTTGCGACCGTTTGGATGGGGTGTAAAAGTACACCAAAAACCGGTGTAAAAGTGATTTCCGGTTTTATTTTACTTCGATTATCGATGTAAAAAACCATCGAAGTAAAGGTGTAAACCAACGACTCTTCGTCTTCGTCTCCGTCTCCTCTCATCGTCTCTTATCGTCGTTCGAAGTAAACAAGGGCACTTCGCTTCGTCTTTGTCTGTTGGTCCTTCTCTCACCGTCGCTTCGTCTCCTCTCATCGTCTTTGTCAAGGGCACTTAACAAGCCCTTGTTTTCTCACCGCCGTTCTGCTGGTCCTTCTCTTCCACTACCTCCCTCTCTCTCGCTCTTTCTCTTCTTTTCTCACTGTTTTCTTTCTTTCTCTCACAGGTTCGAACGCCCTCATCTCAGAACACAGAGGACGCTCATCATCCCCAACTCGCAACGAACAGAAGGTACCAGATCTAGAGCTTGTCATTGAGATCTGACGGAATGTTGTCATCTCGTTTCAGATCTGGAGACAACCCAAAACAGATTTCAGACTTGTTTTTCTATTGTAGTTTTCTTAGATCTTCGATTTATTATTATGTTTATGCTCTGCAATTTGTGTTTAGTTCTTAGATCTGCAATTGTTTTTCTTAGATCTACGATTTAGACAACCCAACATTAACCTAGCTAATTAAAATATATATAGATCCCATACGAACATCACATATTTGTATATATGTTTATCTGATGATGCCAGGTTACTGTCTCACCACATATTTGATTTCAGCAACTAAACCCTACTAGCCTAATTATCCAGATAAAGAAAAACCTAGTTTTCTTGATCTGTTCAAGGAGATAAWGTCTAACCATGTTTGATTCCTTCAAAAGGAATTGCCCAAGTATATCACCTTTGACCCAAAGTATGCCCTATAGACTATTTGATATCATTTCCTTTTTACACAAGCCACCTCTTACCAACCTACAATTTTGGAACCCATCAAAAAATAATGTGAATCATTTTCTAATTGTATTTTGGCATACAGATTAGAGAAAACAGAAAACTACTGGTGGTAACTCACAGGGCTAATAATTCCTGACAMGGTCAAGTAAGCAACTACTCATAGCTTGATGTTTGCAGCAAACCCCAGATAAACAAGACAAAGAATCTATTCAACGAGATAAAAACAAAAAAGATCAAAATATAGGAGGTCCTATAAACACTTAGATAAATAAGGGAAACATAAAACTTCCAAGAAAAACAAGTAAATCACCTTGTCCCCAATCTCAGAAACAAAGATCAATGAGAATGCAGCAGTGAGGCCTGACTTTGCGATTGCTGCTAAGAGTGATGAAGGTCCTCCATTGACAAAGACAATCAGTGAAAAGGCTAAGGCACATGCAAGCAGAACAATTGCTATAGATACTGGATAAGGAATCTTCTTAGGGGATTTCACACTGTCAAATCATGAAGTATATGTATGAACTTGATTTAAATCGGGGCAATTGATGTCTATAGCATAATCTTCAATCAATGGATTTACACTATCAGTAAATCTATAGAAAGAACCAAGAATTAGAAAACCAGAACATGAATCATGATAATKGATTTAYACTATCAGTAAATCCAACCCAATCTTGTATATACATGTCTAGCTAGATTGGATAATGGCCCAAACCAAGAGTTGGATCTGGCTAGATTGGATAATTATGAAAGCACAAACAGAAATAGTAATATAATTATGAAAGAGGAAATAAACAAAAACTTGAACTGATATCAACGGGGCAAGTGAAGGGGAAATAAACAAATAGGAGTGTCATGATCTGATTTGAATAGTGAAAACAGGGATTACTTTATGTTTACAATTCTGAACTGGGTAGGGATGTCATTGGGTTGGTGGGTTAAGTGGGTTAAGTGGTAAATCTGCACTTACCTGATCCTATCTTATTTGGTCCAGTATTTATTGGTTCTCAGGTCATGTTTGTATTGAGATGAACCCATGCTAATCTCTTTTCTGAAATACCAAGGAACCTGCTCATTCTGCTTCAACCAGCTGATAACTACTTGGAGTCCCCTTCAATTACCATCTTTCTCACCGCCATCTCCATTGCCTTTTGCAACACGAAACCACTGCAAACAGTTCTGCTTTTATAGAGTCGCCTAGGCCATTTGGGCCTGAAAACAGCCCCACTATTTCCCCATTTTCATTTCTTATCACCCCCTCCGATTCCAGAAGGACCAGGATTACCAAAGCTACTTCCATTAAAATTCAGCTTAAGAAAGCCCAAATCAGGAGAATGCCAATCCCTTATGATATTCTTCTTGGAGGAAGGTAGAGCTGCAAGTTCCCCAGTTTCTTATTAAACCATCAAAGGTAATATCTGAAACCAAACTCAATGACTTTAGTCAAAGTGCCACCTTTGCCATAACCTCTTCTATCCGTCCTTTTTTTTTCCTTAAAAAATCCACAAGTTTCTTTCCTCCCATAAAGCCCCTTAGGCAGGATGCACAATGAGGACATGGTCCATGGAAGCTGGAACCTAAAGCACCACATAAAATAGGCAAGAAGTGTGATACTACAGTAAACATTCCAAGCCCAAGGACAATTTATGTATTGACTAATAGCATGGGTAAGGTTACTAGTAACAGAGAACTGCTTTTATTAGGGCTAGGATGTAGAAAGATAATTGTTGCACCAATTTATTTATGTGATATCCAGCTAGCCACATGGGTTTCCTGGTTCCTACTGCCTCTCCTTTGGATAGAACTTCCATTATCAATTGTATAAAAATATGCTTAAGATAAAATACAAAATAGTATAGTAATGATACAACAACAAAGTTCAAAGTGACAGAAAGTTGGAAACAAGACCTGCAAAAATGATCAATCTTTAATTCTTATAGGATACAATCAACATGCTATTATTTACTGCATTTAATGAAAATGTCCTTCTGTTAGATGCTTGCAATAAGACAGTTGAGTCTAATATGCTTTAATTCTTGAGTGTAGATATTCAATAGCTGCATTTAAACAAAGTCGTTTTCCTATTGGCTTGGAGTTATTATTTATGCATCTACTAGCACAAACCACCAAGTAGTTGCATTGCAAATGATCTTGGGTAAAAGAAATAGACTTTATGCTTTTGTTTTGAAGGACAAAATCAAATAAAAAAACAATCTATGTTATTATTGCACATAAGCCATCCCAGAGTCCAGAGTCTCATACTTGAATAAAAAAACAATCAATTTCTTCAGTAGGAAAACCTCTGAGTTTTGGTCTTTGAATATTAGCAAGTCCAGAGTCTCATACTTGAATGGCTTTCATTCCATCCAGATTTTGTAGTAGATCCAGATCTCGGATTGATCGGAAACAAAACAATCCTTTCTGTATTCTGTGTAGACAAAGTTTTGGGATAACAGATATAGGCATTTGTCTCAAATTGCTAGTTGAAAATAGTTGAAAAAAATATTTGTATTTTTTGTTTTTCTGTTATATTTTTATAATTTTTCAGAAATTAAATCGGATCAGATTCGTGTTATGCAGTCACTGACAATGAATGTTATGGAGACAAGATTGAACTTGTGACTTGTGAGCTGCTGAGCTTCTGCGATACATAATGTACTGATTCCATGACAGAAAAGCAAAATGATGAACTGAGCTATTAATGCTGAAGCATTTAACATAATTGCCTTCAAAGTTCTCCGATACTTCAGTATACACATACAGGCTAACCGTTTCTGTAATTTTTTAATATTTGCCCCTTGCATCACCTCCATCAGCATGAGATGGAATGCATATTGGCAATTATCAATACATGGGTGTAGTTTTACACTGTTGTTCATCCAAACGCATACAGAAAATACGCTGATGTTTTATACTATTCTTCCAAACGCACAGCAGTGTAAAAGTTGAATCTATCCGGTTCATTTTTCGCACTTACATATAGGACCAGTTTTCTTTTACATTGGAGTTTTGCGTTTACACCTCAAACAAACACAGCCCAAGTATAACTTATCCAAGTCAATGATACCCATCTCTAAGGTAGATAAGTAATTTTCCCATCTAAGGGGAAAGTTGACAATATTTAGAAGGGACAAAATTGTCCCTTTAAATAATAGCTTTTTATGGATAAAATCGTTATTATCTTGTTTACCTGAGAAATAAGAAAATATAGGTAAATGCACTTTAACCTTAAGAAAACGGAGCTAAAAGAGAGACCTTTATTGACCAGAAACAACAATGAGGAAGCGGGCACGTATGAGAATGTTAAGTCAAGTCTTTGGTCAATCGTGTGGTTTGTGGCTGCGATGGTCCACCGTCCACGTAATGAATAGGGTTGGATGGTGCAAAACATATTATACATGTTTTTTACATTTTGATTGGAATTTTCTGGCTGCGATGGTCCATCATCTCTAGTATCACCATCCCGTGGTGCAACAGTTGGTTATTTCCTAGCGGTGAAGGAAATACTTAAGGCTGTGTTTGTGTTTGGTTGTAATGCAAATAAATTTATACTGATGCAAAATTATGGTAATGTAAATGATTTGAGTATAAATTTTGACCTATTTTATTATTTTAAATTTTAATTTATTTTGTTTGATTGATGAAGTAAATTTAAACATGAAATAAAATAAAATAAAATCCAAAACAAAATTAAACAATAATTTGCATTTTTTTATATTTGTACTAGTGCAAATTAATTTGCACTGCAACCAAACACAGTCTAAGGGACCATTAGATAATCAGTCTTAGATAAGATTTTGCTGCCAAAGGTCAAAGATTGAATGGCTAAATGCAGGACAAAAGTGGCTTGATTTATTATCCTTCATTGATCCTAATATCCCTCGTCAAATATCTGGCATGGACAATGAGACGATGTTATATATGTAAGTTAAAATATAAATCAAGTGCCCGTTTGGGAGGGCTTCAGCCTTCAGCTACGAATGAACTGTTTTCACTGAACCGCTTTGAAGAAGAATAGTACATCTAGCTAAATCGGAAAGTTGATTGGGGTTTTTGGCTTTTATTAAACATGACTTGTAATCTTCCTGTATGAGGTCCATCTTGCAAAGGCAGAAAGCCTCCGTGTAAAAACCCTCCCAAACGGGGCATTAAAAAGGATGTTAGAGCGGCTCTATTTTTGTTTTTTCTCGAATCAATGGATCGATTTGGTCCATTTTGTTTAAAATATGTTCCTCAATATGGAGGATATCAAGGAAGCAGATGATACGACTGTCGTGGTGATACCCAAGGTGGTGGTCAAGGCATGTCGGGTGTTGGTGTTGACACCGATGGCACTACTCGTTTTTCCGGAGGATGCCTCATGCCTTTGCACGGTTGCACCACTTGATCTGGGTTGGGCTGGTCTTTGGGTCTAAGTCACTGATTAAGTTTTATGTAATATATATTATTTAATATAAAATAATTATATTTTATATTATATAAGATGTAATATATGTATACAATTATATGAAATAATTTATGTAATATAAAATATTGGATTCAATTATGATATTCGAAAAACTTATAACCATGGGTATCATATCAGATGGGTATTAATCAAAATTCACAGGAGGGGAAGGGAGGCTGATTGGTCAAACGTGTGTGTATATATATATATATATTATGTGTTATTTTATAATATTTGTATAAATAATACAATAATAATAATCGATGGTGCGTGATCAGGTATTCCCTGCTGGAGGATAGCTCGAATGCTTGTATGACGTGGTTGGCTGGTCAAATTGCAAGAAAACAATCAACCCATGGTTCTTTATCTGGGGTGGGCACTCCAATGCATAAGTTAGTGGAGAGTGTTTGAGAATGCTAGAAAGCGAGAGAGAGTTCTGAGAGCTAAATCGCACATGCCTTATCTAGTTGAAAGGATGCCTTTATATAGGCATAGGTAGTCCGAGATCTCCGAGAGGACGTGGCTTATTGGCCTGCCACTCGGAGATGGTTTCCGCATAAAGTGATAAATCTTATCTGATTACCTCCTAAGTGGGCGGAGCGGGAGCTAGCTCCATCGGTCAGGCGACATAATCCCAGAGGACTCGGAGACAATAAGTCGCACGTAGAAGAGGTCGGTCGCCATGTCATGCAGGATGCCAAATGGACCTCAGTTAGGTTGGTGGGACCTTAGTAGGAGGTCGCCCCTCATGTCAAGGTCTCTGGCACGGTCTTGACAGGATTGCTGGTTTGATCCTGCCAAGGTGCATACGGGTCAGCCCTGCCAAGGTGGTGCCAAAGCGCTCTCTCAAGGTGTGCAAGGTGTGTTCGAGGTGGCTTCAAGGTGAACTCAACCAACTTTGGTGAAGGCATGTCATTGCCTACATGGTGCCGAGGTGTTATGCAACAGTTCAGAAGTGTCACGCTGTCACGGGGCTAGTTGTTCGGGCCCCATGCGGCACTCGAACATGACAAGTAAGCCTAAGCAACAAGCAACAACATAAGAAAAGGCAACAAGATGACACACAAATTAGTCAAAAGGCACTTTGTATTGCATAAATTGATGGCAAACACAATCACACAATTTAGTGTCGAGGGGATCTCGTGCTTAACCTTTACACGCTACTGATTCACTCGACTACCTACCTCCCCTCAAAGTGTACGTTAAGCTTTTGGGGGAGTGACAATAAGAAGCATGAAAAGGGTGAAAAATCATACCACGGAATTACAAGATTGCCATTAGCATCCCCCCATACAAGATATACATGTAAAGTCCCACCCAAGACACACACTTGGACACTCGGATGGCATGTTGTGGGTGTGGTGATGGTGCTTGATGGCGCGACAAAGTGTTCACTTGTGACATTCTCCCCCACTCAGTTTAGTCTTCGTCCTCGAAGACTGGCTTCTGCTTGTGGCTCAGATCTGCTTATTGATGAAGGAGGGTTCTTTAGCTGCTCCACAAACTTGGTCTCTTCCAAGGCCCGTGCATAAGGTTGGGTGAAAGGCTTTAGGGTGTTCTTGATGGTGGGACAACCTATGGCTAGTCCAAATGATTAGTCCTTGCTTGGCTGCTTCGAGGTAGGATTTTGGATGTCCTGTTTTGGTGGAAGGTAAGGTTGTGGCCAAGGCAATGTTAAAATCAAGGTTTGGATTTTTCGGGTATTGGTCCCCATGATGATTTTTCTCCCAAGGGTTGCTCCTCACTAGGTTCTTATGAGGGTTGGCTTGATCAATGTGGTGGTGGACAGGGTACCTAAGTGGATTTGGTGGTACTCGCTCTCCTCGATGATGGTCATTGTGAAGGTGGGTGTGGCTAGAGGCAGCCTTGGGTCTTCCAGGATTCTTGGGCCCATTAGGTGCGGGCATATGCTGCTTCTGTTGTGAAGATGGCTTCTACTAATGTTGGTGTTGATGTTGATGCTGAAGCTGGTGCTGGTTCGGCTGCTTGTGCTGGTGCTGCTTTGGGGGAGACTTCTTCTTGGTGATGACTATCCAACCCGCTTCGGTGTTGCTGTGAGATCTTGGAGTGAGGGTCTTCATTGCTGGTACGGCACTAGATTCATGTTCGCTTGTCTCTTGGTACAACTATAAGGCTGAAAGCTGCTTCCCAAGTACCTAGAGGGCTGATGTCACTGGGATCATGCATGGAGAATGCTCATCCAAGTTGAGCAAATGGTCAAGGTGTGGCATGAGGGCTACTTCTTCCTATGTCAGGAACTCTACTCCAAGGACCACTTGAAAGTCATCCAAGGGAACCACAGATAAGTTGACCTTGCCTTTCCATGGTCCCACTTGTAGGTCTACTCCACGAGCCATGCCTTTTACTAGTTTGGCCCCCGATTTGACAACATTGATCCACCCTATTTGTTTGGTGGTGGTCAAGCCAAGTCGCTTTGCCTCTGCAAGCGAGATGAAGTTGTGGGTGGCCCTAGTGTCCACCAATGCTTGGGTCAGCCTCCTGCTGAGGGTGATGTCAACATACTTCAGTCCCTTGTGGGATTTGGTGGGCCGCTTGGATGTGGCATCTTTCTTTACCATGGCATTTATAAGTTGGAGGGTGCCTACTCTTGGTGTTGGTGCGGGCTTCTCCTCATCACTCTCTTCATCATCACTGAGTTTGGCGATGAGGGCATTGATCTTCTTTCGCATGGGATAGTCGCTAGTCCAGTGCTTTTCATTGCAGATGTAGAAAGGTGAGGGAGGAATTGTAGGTCTCCCAGTGTACCAGTGGCCATGATAGTTGTAGGTTCCTTGTGGCTTCTTCCCTTGATGATAATTGTTTGGATTGTCATTGTGTCTTGGTCTTTCTTGTGTGGAGACCGATTGTTGATCTCCCCCACTCAAACTCATGGTACGTGCACTGGATAGCTTTTGGCCTTCTTCATCCAGTGTCCTTAGATCGACAAGTTGCTCAACTACGGCCATGGCTGTGGTGAGGTCCTTCACACCACATAGTTGAAATTCAAACTCAGCCTAGGGTTTGAGACCGTCCATGAAATTGAACAAGAGATCCTTGTCTGACATGTCGGAGATCTCCAGCGTCAAGGCCAAAAATTCTTTGACATAGTCATGTAGCAATTCTTGCTGTTTAAGGTTCTTCATTCTTCTCCGCACCAGGTACTCCACGCTCTCAGGGTAGAACTGACGCTTGATCTCATTCTTGAATGCAACCCGGGTGTCAATGGTGCGGGTGCCGTGTTCAAAGTCTTGACAACACCTACACTACCAAAACATTGCAACATCATTCAAATACATATCAGCTGTACGTACTTGAGTTTGGTTATCAGTAATGCCAACGGTAGAGAAATAGTGTTCTAGTTGCCACAAGAAATTGTCAAACTCCCTAGCATCCCGAGCACCTGAGTAGGGTGTTGGTTCATGGATCTTGATGTGCATGGGAGCTAGGGTGGCTGAAGTGCTGGAAGAGTTGGCCACCACCCTCTTTAGGAGAGTCATCTCGTCTAGTTGTGCTTGAAATCTGTCTAGCATGCCCTGTATGCTACTCTGGGAA